ATGCGAATTGCTTTCAGTTGGCCGAGTAGTCCGATGACATTCTTTGACGTGCCACCGATGTTGATCGTATTCATCTCGTTGGGTCGTTGGCTCGAACATAAAGCAAAGGGCAAAACCTCGGAAGCGTTAAGCAAACTCATGTCTCTACAAGCAAAAGAAGCACTACTAATCACACGTGATGAACAAGGTCGAATCCTTTCCGAACAGGGTATCGATATCGAATTGGTCAGTGCTCGCTCACCTCTTATTTGAGTTCTTTATTTCGTTTCGTTGCATTCCATCTCTGCTTCATTCTTTTCACGTTGCGAATGTGAATTGTTCGGTCATCTCTTCGTTCGAGTTCAAATACTTTCATGCTTTTAAAGGTACAACGTGGAGATTTGATCAAGGTGTTGCCCGGTGCAAAAATCCCGGTGGATGGCGTTGTGATTGATGGTAAAAGTTCGGTCGATGAATCTTTCATCACCGGAGAATCAATGCCGGTGATTAAAAGAGAAGGTAATCAATCCATAAATAATATGTAGAGTTTTTTTTGAGGAGTTCGATACCTTTGATAAAAATGATACCTTTCCTTGATCTTGTTCTAGAAAAGGTATCATTTTTGGAGGTGAAATTCGGTTGATTATGTCAAATATTGTCTGGAAAACCATAACTCCTGTCTTCTTCTAGAATTTATCTGAAAATCAAAACGGCATATAACAATGCAATGTAAAACATAGATGGATCAGAATCGATAGGAATGATATTTAGCAAAAAACGAATTGATGATCTAGTGTAAATTGTAGAATGCGTTTATGAAAGAAGTTAATCGTTTTTGCGTTTATGAAAGCTGCAAAAGAGTTTCGCAATCGAACAAATTTTACAGGGAGTGCAGTGATAGGTGGTTCGGTGAATCAGAAGGGTACGTTGATCATCGAAGCGACTCACGTCGGTCAAGAGTCAACGTTAGCGCAGATTGTTCGATTGGTTGAGGAGGCACAAACGTCGAAGGTAAATTCCATCTCATCTCATACCGATTTCAGCGTTTATTATGCGATCTTGATGGCGAATTTATTTTATCGGTGATAAATTCTCAAAGCACTTTTGAATGAGATCTGTTGTTGGCGTTGTTCGTCTTGCGGTATGATTTACATCGTTCGTTATTTCGAATTTGTCGATTGAATTTCTCTCATGGAATTCGATTGCAGGCGCCTATTCAACAAACAGCGGATCGTATCGCCGGATATTTTGTGCCAACCGTAATTGGGCTTGCCGTGGTGACACTGATTATATGGATTTTCGTTGGTTATTTTGTCGTTGATAAGCAATTTCAAGTGAGCGATTTTTTTTTCAATAACTACCAATATTTAATGTATTCTTATCATAAAATTTACATTCATCTATCAAATTGTGATGATTGATTGATTTGAGGATTTATATATGAGATTTTGAGGAGGAGTTGTATCAGTTGAGTTCTCTTAGAAAATAAATTGCAAATAGAGTATTTTTAGAGTGAAACAGAAAGGATCGAATCAGCGCTGAAACGAGCATTCGAAGCAGCAATAACAGTGTTGGCGATAGCGTGTCCTTGTGCGTTGGGACTAGCCACTCCAACGGCTGTTATGGTCGGTACGGGTATTGGTGCCCATAATGGTATTCTTATCAAAGGTGGTGAACCACTGGAAATGGCTCATAAGGTTTTGCTTTGCACTTTCTTCTGAATTACTCTCCGTTGAATATTCAGCATCTTCAGTGACTATCAAAATGTCCAATCATCCATTGTTGAAATCTACTAAATTCCAGTACTAAACAAAATTCAGATAGAATAATACAATCTTGATCCATAGAATTCTTGAGGAGCAGGATTCTCAGTGTTAGTATGAGAATGACACTACTGAGAATTACTTCATTACTTCAATTGAGAATGCAAGGATTTAAAAAAGCTACATGTACATTTCGGTGTGTTGCAGTCGTGATCGTGTCGTTAAATGAGTGGGTGATGAGTGTTTCAGATAAAAACGGTCGTATTCGATAAGACAGGTACCATAACAGAGGGTCATCCTCGTTTGATTCGTATTCACACGTTTGTATCTCAAGCCACTCTTCCACTAAGGCGAATGTTGGCCATTATTGGTTCGGCCGAATCGAGCAGTGAACATCCACTCGGCGCTGCGATCGCCACCTTCGTTAAAGAGGTTTTGTCTCGTTTTGTGGTTCAGTCGTCAAATTTGAAATCATTTATCGGGCAATATTATTACGCTCACTGTTCAGTAACGATCACATTATCACTCTGAACTTATTTTTCTGCTTTCATCTATGACCGCGTACATCTTCGTTGGCATTTTGAAAGGATCGTATGGAATTTATGAAATTTTCCGTGACAATAGCGAATATAATGCGCCAATGGAACATTATCTTCGGCAGAAATAAGAGCAGTAAACATTAATTGGAAAAGGAAATTATTAGGGTCTTATGATTGTGTCGATTGTTGTTCGCGCAGTCAACGAATGATTTGCGTTCGTTGTTTGTTTTAGAACGAAAAGTTTCTCTCAGGTTATCATCAGTAGTCGTCAGTTTTAGCATTTACAAACAGACGAATGGG